CCCGGCCGCGCCGCTCAGGCCGTTACGGCCCCGACCTGCACTTCCTGCCGCGGGGAACCAGGCGTTCGGCCCTCGCCGCGGGCGCTGCGGGTCTCGGGCCAGGGGTGGCTGGTCGCAGCCTGCGCTCGAGAGGGTCCCCGCGGTGCCAGCGCGCCGGGCCACCAGCAGCAGCCTCGGGGCGGAGTTGCAACTCACTTGAAAGTTGCACGGCACTGGGCTCTGCCCAACCCCGGGTCTCCGGCGCCCGGCGCAGGCGCCTTGCGGCCCCGGAGGGGGCGGGGCGAGGTCAGGATGGCGAGAGGCCTGTCCCTTAAAGTGGCGATGCGCCTCGGACTCGAGGAGGAGGCCCGTAGGTTGAGTAGCCCTCCGCGTGGAGGTGGGAAGCGAAAACAAAAAGGTGGGGCGGGGGAAGGAAGAGACGAAGGAAATCTGAAGTCCAGAGTTTCGCAACTAGCCCTTTGCTAGCTTCCCTCATTTGCCTCCTTTTCCCCCTCTGTAAAATGGGAATGAGCCTGAGCTGGATGGAGGTCCCCCACTTACAAGCTCGGGCACAAACCAGAAGGAGGCTTGGCTGAGCGCCAGCAAATCCGAGTCTTATCACACTAGGTCAGGAGCTCGGTAAAGTGCCTCAGAGCTGCTGAAGTGGCCTAGAGGGAAAGCCGGAGGAGGTGTAGGAGAGGGAACCTGAGGGGCTCATCACCCCCACCCACCCACCTTGAAGAGTGGGCCTCAGGAGTTGACGTCTCCGTGGGCTACCTCTCCAGAGCCCAAGTACCTGGGCAGGCTGATTTGAGAGATTCTGGGTGGAGTACCCAGCCCCCCATGTCTCCTTCCGCAGAACATTGAAATTCCACCTATTTCTGTGAGTCAAGAGCACAAATATCCCTGAGGGTTTAGTAGCATCAACGATGGCCATCTTGTAGTGCATCTTGGAGCGCAGAGCCTTGATCATTACAAAGATCGTTTTTTACCATTTAGGATGCAGGCTCAACCATGAGAAGTAACTTGCCCGAAGGCACCTGATGGTGTTTGTGGCTGGATGATAAATAAATGCTTGGCTGGATCAGTCTTCTGAGGGTGGCCCTGAGAGGGGACGGGAAAACGGAGTTGCTCCTTTAGGAGGTGTGTATCTGGAAGAAGGCAGGAGGCTCTAAAGAGAAGGCAAATTTGGCTGCTTCTACAACTCTCCACGTGGGGTCGCGTTCTTTGTACCTGTTCTACTAGGTGCCTCGCTCCATCCCCCCATTCTGTGCAGCCTCCCCTCTGCCTCATAGGGCTGAGGTAGGGGTGATAACAGAGCTGCTCAGAGCTGTGGGGGTGGGAAACTCGGGCAGTTATTACTTCTTATTAGAGCCGCAATTAACACCCACCATTTAGCAAAAGGAAGGACTAGCCAATGATGGGAGCCAGGGAAAGGGGGCTTCTTGGGAATAAATAAACACCCAGTGATTATATACTCCTAATTATTATCATCAATTTTATTGGTGTTGCTGGATGTGAGAGCCAGCAGTGAAACCGGCCCACAGGGGAAACTCCGCGGGGGCCCTCATGCCTCCCTCTCTCCCCCAACCACCTCACACTGGCCGCAGCTCCCACCCCAGATTGGAGGAACAAGAACCACCAAGGGCAGGAGCGCCCCAGGAAGGTCCCAGCTACCATCCATCTCTAGGCTCAGGCATTGTAATGGGCATGAAAGTATCCTTGTCTCCTTGGAGAAGAAGGATGTGACTGACCCAGTGGGGGACAGCTCAGGAGGAACAGGGGCTTGCAGAAAGGGGAAGGGACATCCATGCCTCTGGAAGTAAGGGTGCCTGGGCTGACTGTGTGCATGCGAGCCTCGGGTCCTTTGGTACCTACTGCAGAACTGCCTCCCCCGCCTCGGTGCCTTTCAGAGCCATGCACCTGACCTTAGCATCACACGCCTCTCTCGACCCCATTCGCTGGAGAGGAGCTCTCCTGTCCCCACTCCACGCCAACCCAGCCAGGGCGGTCTCTCACATGGAGACCCTTGGTCCTGATGACTGTGCTTGGAAAATCTAAGGGACAAGATGTCAGGGCTCGGCATGGAGGGGTGTGAGGCTGGCAGCTGAGGAGGGTTCACCCTCCTCGGCTTTGACAGAGCGAGTGGACTCTGCCTCTCATGCCTTTTGGTCCTGAGCTGTTGACACAGTCACCTGGTTACACTGGGTTGCTAAGCAGCTCTCTGGACATACAGATGTTCCACCCTGGGCGGGTGACGAGACAGGCACACAGTGGGCTCCATTCTCCATGTGCAGAAAGCTGGGCACTCAGGGGGAGAAGTGTCTCCCGACCCTGGGAGGCATCCTGGGGGAGCAGCAATCAGAGTGATATTTACCTTTCTACTGGGTGACAGACTGCCAACATGTCTGGGAGACTCACCCCACTTTCCCTGGCAACCTCTCCCTGGCACATCATGAGGGCCCATTCCCCATTTGAACAAAGCGAGATAGGCATTGCCAGGACAGTGTGGCTGGGGGACCCAACAGGTGCCTGCTAAGCCAAGAGCACATGAATGTGCTTGGAGGGGGTAGAAACCCAGACACAGCACCTAGCAGATTCCCCACTGTGAGGAGCGGGCATCCGAGGCTACAGGTAAGACACAGGGTAGCAGGGCCCTGAGACTGAAGATGGGTAAGGAACCCTAATCCACAGGCAGTAGGTCTCCTCGAGGATCAGCCTTCTCTGAGCCACCTCTGTGTCTCTAGTCCTACCACCAAAGAAATCTTAGTTCTGTGCAGGACATATTCTTCTAAGGGCCCTACATACATTAATACATTATAACTGATCTAATGCATTCAAATCACGCACTAACTCTGCCAGGTAGGTAGCATGATTCTCCACACTTTCCAGGTGAGGAAGCTGAGATACAAATGGGCAAAGGAACATGGTTGAGACCAGCCGGCTAGAAAGCGGCAGAATCAGGCTCGGGTAGAGTAGGTTTTATTATTTACTTGACAGAAGCAGAAGCTCAGCTCAGGAAGTCAGTCCCCTTGCTTCAGATCTCACACCCAGGGCGGAGGGTGGCCAGGGTGCTGCACGTTTGCCCGGCAGAGGGGAATGGAGAGGCGAGGGGCTGCAGAGCTTGTCCTTGGCCCTGTTGGTTGGACTTGACCTGACCGAGGGAAAGCCTCCAGCCTCAGCGGGCCCCAGGACTATGATCTCCAGGAAGGAACACTCGGCCATGAGTCAGCCTCAGCTGGTGGAGACCAGTCACACTCGCCCAGCACCTGAGTGTCATCACTATGAACTTTTGACCCCCGCAGCAGCTGACCTTGGGGTGCCCCCTCACTCTGCAGAGGGAAGGGAGCAGGGAGGAAGGGGTTCCGAAAGCTGAAGCTGGTCCCCTGTTTCTTAATGAAACAGTTGCCACCGACCGTCACCCTTGAACACCTGAGACCCATCAGTGGGGTGGGAACTTTTTATCTGAAGCAAGTGAATCAGAGTATTGCCCTCAAGTGCCCTTGAGCATCCTGCTACCAGGAGGCCCTCATACAGTCTGGGAAGAGCCTCCCTGAGCCACACCTTCCCCACCAGCCTTGCATCTCAGCCATCTATTCCCAGCGTACAGCAGAGGGCAGCAGAAGCTTGGCTCCCACAGGACCCTCACTCCCTCCCCTCTCCCGCACTCAGCTTGCACTGCAAGGCAGTGCTCCTGGGGTGTGCCTCTGTGGTTTGGAGGGGTCTCAGGGCCTCCGAGATGCTCTCCAGCCCAGCTCCACTCCAGGCACCCGTCCAGATGGCTCAGGTGCCTGCAGCATCCCTGGCTTGTCTAGTGCTTGGATGCACCCAAAGGAGCCAGCACAGCACTGGATCCATATCCCAAAAGCGGAGCTAAATCCGGGTCTGGTCCAAGGCTGGGGCAGCTGCAGGAAAGAAAAGCAGAAATGCTTTCGTCTGGGTGGACTCACTGTCCACCAGTGAGCCAGATTCAGGATCAGAGAGGGAAACTCCAGGGAGAACAGAGACGGCACTGGGAAGAAGTCAGGCTTTGCTGGGGCTGTTGTTCTTATTGCTTCCGGCAGAGGGGCTTTGCCCCTAGGAGGTCAGGCTGGTGCCCAGAGGCTGGCACCACCATTCCCATCTTTATCAGCCGCAGGGTGGGCATGGCAGGGGTGAGCAGAGGAGGACGTGGACTATGTGCCCCTCTAGGAAGACAGGCAAGGTGATGGAGGGGGGAGCCCCTTTAGGCAGTGCTGAATCTGCATGAGTGCACATGGAAATGGGTGTGTAGACAGGTGTGTGTGCGTGTAACTGAAGGAGTCCATCAGGGTCCACGTGTGCGTGCAGAGGACGGTAGTGTGGGTGAGTGCATCTGGCAACACGAAGGGTGTGGCTGTGGGCTGCGATGCGGAGCATGAGCAGGTGAACAGACACCTGGAGCACCAACAGGAAAGACCAGAGGGTCAGAAGGGTAAGCTGAGGAACAGGAGGGAGCAGTTCAGCCTCTGCCCTCCCAGCTCCCCTCCCGGGGGCCAGAGCGTGTGGAAGGCGGCAGTGCGAGGGAGGCTGCGGATGGAATGTGGGGAGAACAGGCGTCCATGTGTGGGGAGGGCACCGGGTGCGGGGTCGCCTGATGCGCAGACAAGTCTTCATGCTGATTACCACGAAGAGAAGTGGCATCTCTGGGCTGCGGTCCACGGCACGGCCTGTGCTCACCGGGGGTGTATGCATGTGAGAGCACGTATGCGGGTAGGCTACATGTGTCTTCACGGGGGCACCTGTGCTGTTCATCCGGAGACTCCCACCCAGCTTCCCGTGGCTGCCCAAGGAACCCAGAGGCCCTCTAGGCACTGAGATCCACCACCACGTGTCGGTACACAAGCGTCTGTCCCTTGAAGCTGGGGGCCAGGAGCAGCTGGGCGTCCCCAGCAGGCATGTAGCAGAAGGCCCGAGGGGCCTGCACGGCCAGCTCCTGGAACCGCACGAACTTCTGCCGCCCCTCATCCCACTGGTAGATCTGCGTGAACGAGAAGTCGCTGCCCAGCGCCAGGTAGCGGCGGCCACCCACGAGGAAGGGCTGCAGGGCCAGCGAGCCCCGGGAGGGCAGAGCCTGCACCTCGGAGAAGCGGGTGCCCTCCCAGCGCAGGATCTTGGAGTCCCCGATGTAGCGGCTGAGGCACAGGTAGCTGTCGTGGCCAGCTCGGAAGTGTTTCACAGCCTGGGCATCAGGCACCTGGGTCACCTCGCCCTGGGCCACAAACTGCTTCTGGGTGCGACTCCACTGATAGATGACAGGTGCCTGGGAGCTGCTGGACACAATCAGGCGCGGCTTGCCCTCGCCGTCTACGAATTCTAGGTCAGTGTCGCGGTGCCAGGCGTGCAGGGCCTGGTGGGAGTAGAAGCCGTTCTGGTGCCAGCGGTAGAGGCTGGTGGCGCCTGCCTTGGAGCTGTCGGCCACGGCAAAGTACCAGTCACCGTCGATGCGGAAGGCCTCGAGGTCGTTGGGCTTGCGCACGCGCTGTGGGTCGATGTCCTGCAGCTTAGTGAAGCGCGTGGTGTTGGGGTCCCAGTGGTAAACATAGGAGCCGCCAAATAGCTGGGCCACCACCACGTACAGCTGGCTGTCCACCACCATCGGCTTGCAGTGCACCGCAGAGGGGGCTGCAAGGACGGAGGGAAGCAGCGTCAGGGGGCCCGCAAGCCCCTGCCATGTCCTCAGAAAAGAGAAGCAGTCCCCTCCAGCCCCGGGACAGAACTAAGGGCTTTGGCTACAGCATTCTCTCCCCGCTGAATAGCCACTGGGCGCTTAATGCTTTCTGACTGTTTCAGACCAAACACCCCATCTCAGCATCACCCTCCCTGCGCCCTTGCCCCCAGGGTTCAAATACAAGCTGACACTGAGCACAAAATAGGTGTCCCTAGATATGGACCGATGGTCTAACCATCATGTCAATTACTGAATTTTTACTGTGTGCTGTCACTGTACTAAGTATGAACATGTTGCCTCAATGAATAAGTCTGAAAGATACCCTATTATTTTGCAATTTCACGCAGAAAGTAATGGAGGCTTGGAGTCTAAGCGACTTGCCCAAAGTTACTCCACTGGCAAATGGCCAGGCAGGGGAAGCAGGAAGAATTTGAACACAGCCAGATGGAGCCTGGGTAGACAGAGGCTTGTGGATCGTTGTAGGTGAAAACACATTCTCCCCAGAGCTTCCACTTTTGATGAGGTTTTTACATAGGAGAACATGTGTATTGCAACCAGATTGCTCTGGCCCCTTTGCAGGCACCAGAAGCATGTGGGGCCACGCTCCTGACCTGTCCTGGGTCCCCAGGCTTCGCCTCTCCTCTCCTGCTTGCCAGCACTGCTTCACCGCCCTCCTCCTCCCCGTGACCTACCTCTTCCCCAAGGGAAGCCCACGCTGAGCCTCAGGCTCTGACAGTCACAGCCCTGAATCCCTTCCACAGCCTTGGGCTGCCCACCCCGATGCTTATAATTCCTCCAGCTTCTGAGCTGCAGCTCGGACCCTTCTTGCCCACCTGCCCCAAGCACCTCAGCCTCCACTGGCCAGCTCCACATCTACCCCTAAAACTGTGTTCTTGATTTCAATTCATGGCCCCATCCAGAAACATAGAAGCCATCCCCAACAGTGGATCCCCTCTCCCTCTCTCACTGCTGACCAGTCTCTAAGTCCTGTCAGCCCTCCTTCCTGCTTTCTAACACAGCTTGTGTAAGGTTGGTGTAATTTCTTCCTTAGAAGTTTGACGGAATTCACCATCTAGCCCTGAAGTCTTCTTTGGGAGGAGAGGTTTTTAGGTAATGATTTCAAGTTCTTTCATAGATACAGGGCAATTTAAATTTTTTGTTTCCTCTTGTGTCAATTCAGCCCTCCCTTCTAACTCTATTTCTCCATCCACACTGCTGCTGCCCCAGCCCAGGCACCAGCTGATCCCTTCCTGGTGTGCCCAGGTGTCTTACCTAAGGCCTAGCACTCTCCTGCTGCTCACAGAGGAACTTTTCCAAAATGCCATTGGATTGGTCACACTCTCTGTTCAGTACCTGTCAGTGGCCTGGTCTTCATCCCTCTTGGGTCTCGTCTGCCACTCTCCACCTTGAACCTTATGCTGCCATCATGTGCATGCATGTAATTCTTCACATGTGCATGCACACACATGGTAAGCTATTTCATGCCTTCTTGACTTTGCTCATGCTGTTCCTGCTGCCAGAACACCCTTCCCACATTTCTTCTCCTAGCTAAGTCTCCCTCAGCCTTCTAGATTCAGCTTAAGCTCAGTGGATCCCAAACTGAACTCACTAGCCACTCCTATCTCTTCCTTAGTTCACTGGCACCACTCACTTAAGCCAGGATCCTGGGCATCATTCCTTCCCCTCCCTCATCCTTCAAGACTCAGCTCAGGCATCCCCTCCACCAGGAAGCCTTCCTTGATTTCTCAGAGTAGGCCCCTCCTTTGTGCTCCCAGAACATCATGTTTCCATCTCCCTCCTAGTACCAATGTATTATATGGATGTTATCCATATGTATCAACCTTCCCCCAAAGACTAGAACGTTCTTATGGTCAGAGACCAGGTCTCATCTCTCCTCCTACCTACAGGAACTCAACGGAGCCCAATCCCATCCCACCCCACCCAATCAGGGCCGCCACAGCCAGGCTGGGCGCAGGTACCTGGGATTCTATCATAGTCCCGAAGCTGCCGTTCAACATAGTCCCACTTGAGGATGGAGCAGGCGCTGGCTCCTGGCTGGGCCAGGGCCACATAGAGGTCACTGGAGTAAAGGAAGGGCTCAGCTGACACTGCTGGGAAGGACAGGGTCTGGTACAGCACGAAATCTGCAGGGGTGAGAGGGGTGGGGGGAAGTGGAGGAAGAAGTGTAAGAACTTTCTGAGTGGTAAGGTTACTCAGCTGGCGAGGCAGGGTGTTGGAGGAGCTTCCCTGGGGAGGCTCAGCCTGATGCCCGGGGTGGGGCACCTCCTACCCGTGGTGATGCAGTCGAACTCCCGCAGCGGCAGATCCTGCACCTTGTGCTCTTGGAAGCGGGGCGGGCTGGCGCAGTAGATGGGCGCCACCGTGGTGTTGGTGTGTGCCAGCCACTCCACCAGCCACTTCACCTTGCAGTCACAGTTGAGCGAGTTGCCCCGCAGGTCCCTAGATGGCGAGGGTGATGGAGGGGACACAGAGAGGGACAGGCTCTCAGCTGCTCTGCCCACCCAGGCCCTCAAGGTTTTCAGAAGTAGATATCAAGGCTGCTGGTGGCTGCTCATGTGGCATCTTTGCGCCGATTAAAAAAAAGTTTCCCTTGGGTGGTGCAGCCCCACAGTCAAGTGCTTGGCCAGCAGAGTGGAGGCTGAGTTTCAGCCCCTACTTGCCTCCTTGACCTGGTGTCTTTTGTACTTGTAACTTGCACAAGTATCGGTCACATCCCAGTTCCTCCAAACTTTCCACAATCCAGGGCTTTTGTTTTCTCGTAGAAATACTGATCAATGACTGTGGCTATGCTATCAGACTTTAACGTAGATTCAAATCAAACATACATTAAAAAAGCACCTATTTAAAAAACATACACATGCATTGTGCATTTTTAAGAGGGCCACAGATGCCTTAAAAGGCTTGAATCTTTGGTAGGTTTGAAAGGTAACCAATCTATCTATGATTAAACCTAGCCTTCTTGGCCTTCCGCCCCAAACCCAAACCCAAACCCAAGCCCTCCCAGCCTGTCAAGACCTTATGATCTTCCCAGTTCTGCTCCCCATCCCTCCTTCTAGGGATGTACCCCTCTGTGGCACTGTCAAAAGAAGTAAGACTCAGGCCTTACAAGTCACTCAGGATGTCCAGAGGCCGAAAGATGTCTCTAGGCAGTGTCTGCAGGTTATTGTTGGCCAGTGAGCTGCAAGAGAGACCCCTGAAGATCATGACCAAGGCCAAAGGCCAAAGGAGATAGGGGGCTTTGGTTCGGTGTATGTGTGTGATGTACTCACAGGTGTGTCAAAGACTTCAGTCCTCTGAAGGTGAACTTGGATAGTGCCCAGATGTCATTGTTCTCAATGAAGCTGGAGAAAGACGAGAAATTGTCTTAGCTGCCATTCATGATCCCAGATCCCTGACCAGCTCTTTCCCTACATCCCACCAGGATTCCAGCCCATGGCCCTAAGACAGGCTTCCATTCTGAATCTGGGGACATCAAGTGGTGACAGGGCATCCAGGCAGGATGGTTTAAGCAGAGGGATGGATGAAATGACCCTCTGCTCAGGTCCTCCAGTCAGAGGATTCAAGGGCTTTCCCCCTGCCCTTCCACCTCCCCCCGCAGCCCAGGCAGGCCCGGGCTCCCTCCTGCCTTCCAGTTCCCAATTCCCCTTTTCTCCCCACGCACAGATACTGCAGGTGCGACAGTCCTGTGAACGCATTGTCTCCAATCAGTGTGAACTTGTTGGAGTTGAGTAACCTGCAGAGACAAAGGTGGATTAGAGCTCCCAAGGGCACACCTGCCACACCAGCCCCCAGCTGGCTGCCTTACGCCCAAGCTCTGCTTCCCAACCTCAGGACCCCAGTGGAGGGCCCCAGAGCAGCCTGGGTGGCAAGTCCAGGCAGGAGCCTGTTCTGGTCCCAGAAGCTCCCAGGGTCCCTATTTGGTTCTAGGGTAAGAACAGTCAAGGGAAGAGCTCCCCTGTCGAACTAGGTCCTTCCCCTCTGCATCTCCCCTCTCTGTCTCCCACCCTCACCCCAGCTCACTCCAGTCCCTCTCGGACTGATGGCAAGGTGAGGAAACTGACATATACTCTCCCCTATGACTGGGGCTTCAAACATAAAAGCCCCTTTTAGAACTCCAGACCCTCCCATCTTCTCTCTTTCAGCCCCCAGCTCTTTCTTTAAACCCTGACCCCTACCTAGGGTCACTTGTCTCTAAGATGAACTGTCTCCCCTGCATTGTCCACCCTCTGGCACCAGCTCAAGTTATGGCACCCAATTCTTTTGGGTCTCCAGAAGAGGCAGGTCCCTTCTAACTGGGTTCCAAATACTCCCATCTTTGCTCTTGCAGGCAATCCCTACCTTCCTTCTCCCCAACTGCTGCTCCCTGCACTCCTCCTGACTCCAGTTGGCCCCACACTTTGTGGCTAGCCCATGGGAGTGAAAGTAAGTGACACCTGCCTCTTAATCTCCAAACACTACCTACAACCGCTCTCCTCTCCCCCTCCCCAGTCCAGGATCTGCCCCCTTCCCCTGCCCGCCCCTGCCCATCAGCAAGGCCCTGTCCTTACAGGAACTGCAGCAGTGGCAGGTGGGAAAATGCTCCATCCTGGATCTCCGAGAAGGCAGCATTCACCAGCGTCCTGCAGGGGACACCTGAGTCAGTTCAGTGGGAAGTATGCCGGAACTGTGCTGGGGCCGTGAGAGGTGCACAGGGCAATGGCTTCTGTATGCACTGGCCATGGGAATTCTCCATTTCACCTGGGTCCCCCCCTCCCACACCTGAGGCTGTCTTTCCCTTCTCAGAAACTCACTGCCTTCCTTCGTCATCCTCCCCCACTGCCTCCGTGAGCACCAAGGACCCCAGGCTCACCCGCCACCCAGTCAAAAGAAGGTTCCATTACCCACACCTTCTCCATCATTCAAACACCCACAGAGTGCTGGGCTCTGTTGAGGGATGGGGCACTGGGATTGGGGTTGTAGATTGGCATCTTGCTCTCAAGGACCAAAGAGCTTATTCTCATCCCCAAGGCCAGTTGCTGCAAGTGACAGGCTGGCTGGCCCCGTGCAGAGTGGCTGGCGAGACCAGTGGCTGCCATCCGCCCGTGCCAGGGCGCTGTGTGAGTGTATCTCACTTCCACCCCTCCCTCTGCTGCCACCCTCCCCCCACAAGAAGCCTTCTGTCCTTGGTGTGACATCACAGGCAGGGGCCCCAGCGCATGTAAACAACCCCTCCCCCCAAGTCCAGAGCCCTGCACACAGTAGGTCTTGTTGATGCTGCCGGTGCTGGTGATTCATTCTTGGCTGTACCGCGGGCTTCCCCAGCCATGGCTGCCTTGCTTGCAAGACTGCAGAACACCCTGCCCCGCGGATGCCTTTCATCTCCCGTCCTGAGAACTCCCTGGAGCCCTCCTGCACCCCACACTCTGTAGTGGGGGAGCAGGGGTTCTCCCCATCCACTGCCAGAGCCGTTTTTGCCTTCCTCCCCATCCAAAGCTCCCCCACCCCACCCCACCCCAGACCAGGGCTGAGCACTCACAGAGAGATGACCTCGGAGGGCAGGTTCCTGGGCACTGCCTTGGAGTCCACGCAGAAGGCGGTGTCCCTGGTGCAGGAGCAGCTGGGCGGGCAGGGGGGCGTCTTGGGGGGCCTCTTGGCGCCGACTTGCAGCAGGAAGCAGAAGCCGAGCGTGGACAGCGCCAGCAGCCCGAGCCCCGAGCCCCGCCTGGCCCGCAGCCCCGCCATGCCGCCTGCA